TCGAAATAAGCGTGATTCGGATCGTTGACAGCGGCTTCCAACCGTGCCAGTCGAAACAGATTTGTAGAAATAACGGAAACAATAGGCGGCAACCCTCTCTCTGAACGGTTCGGGGTTGCATCGAACGTGTGCGATCCTCGAGATGCGTTCAACTTGGAAAATAATAGTCTTTCGCGATGTTTGCAGAGATTGGAAGATTGCTTCTCGAGTCTCGAATTTTGCGTGAAAGTGGAAAGGAACGTCGCTGGAACAGCGTGTCATCTACGATTTCGTTATTTTTTGTCTCCTGGCAATTTCTCGTTTCGGTATCGCGAATTAGCGATTATTCGCCGAGTTCATTGGGAAATTCGCGGTACGACAAACTTAAAATTCCAAGATCGTTAAATCCTCACGAAGATTCCGTAAAAGCGAGAGCTCCTCTTGAAACCGTCGCGTCGGTTTCCCGTGGAAGAAGCAGCGGAGACGCGATTTTAATAGCGTGTACCCGTTAACCGAGACAAGGCTGGAATAATAAATCGCAGGAAATACCGCGGACAATTGCAAATTGGTACAAACGAGAGGGGATTGTTATGAGGAAGGAAAAAGGAGGATAGCGAGGGTCGGAGGAGGGTGGAAGCGGTAATAGGTGGCAGTAGAGAGAAAGAGGGAGAGAGATAGAGTCCATTATCTATTGCGCGAATATTCATCTTGAAAGTAAACGAACGCGGAGTAGTGTCTCGTTAACGAACAGGAAAACTCCTTTGGTCCAGCCTCGATTCGCTTGGCCGGAAAAGAAATATCCTCGTCTCTCTCTCTCTCTCTCCCCTCTCTTCAATTTCAACCCTCCCCCGCTCTGTACGATATTTCTCCTCCTTTCTTCCGTTCGTTCCTTTCTTTCTTTATTTTTCAGTCGCTCGAACGTTCACAAAGCGTGTCATTAGTATAACTTTTCCACGATGGCTGAGAGAAGTTGAAACGACGCGAACCGGATTTTTATATCCAGTTAAAATAATGAAGTTCCGGCGCGATGCAGCCGCGTGAAAGTTCAGGATCGCGATCCACAACGAACCTTTCCGTTTCCTGCCTCCTCTCTCTCTCTCTCTAGCCAACGTGGAAGTGCCGATGACACAACGACGACAAAGGGAGACTCGCGATCGTTAGAACGATCGGGTACGCTGAAACTTGGACGTACGAGTGTGTCGATTCTTTCCAGAAGAAATAAACGGCGGAGAGCGAATAGAATGAATTTGGCGAGAAAACGAAAATTCGATCTTGATCCAAATGTTACCTTCTCGCCTGGGCGTCGTTACGTTCTCCGGAGAATATCCTCCGGTTTGTTCAACTTATTCGGTATGAAAGGATCAAGTAAACCTTAACAAAATATTCAATACACAGATATATCCAGGGATATACATTAACCATCGATCAGAGAGGACGGTTATGAAACCATGAATTATCGATCCAACACGGGAGACATGCACGCCTGCTTTTCTCCACCCACCTCTGCTCTACCCTTTTTTCCAGACTCTAAAGTCAAGCCGACATGCTCGATTGGCGACGTGATCGATCGATCGAGAGAGCGGCAGAGCCTCTCGCGAATCAGTCGGCTCTTCGCGCCTTTCGCGAGGAATAAGAAAAATAATCGAACGCGTGATCGAAGCAAAATAACTGTGAACGATCCACGTTGCACCCTTTCCTCCCCTCTTTCTCCAGCACCCTCTGCTCCGATCGGCTCGACTTTGACGGTAAATTTGGAGAGAAACATATTAGCGATAAAAGCGCGACGTCTCGTAGTAGCCAAGCCCGGTAAATTACCCCGCTTTTCCATCCTCGCCTGCAGCTTTCACGCTGACAAGTGAGATTTTCATCGTTCGTCAGCTGACAACGTTCGAGGCGAGAGATTAATCATCGGCGCGTTAAAACGAATATTTTTCTCTCTTTCTTCATTCTGTTAAAATATATGCCACGATGATACGCAGCAGCGCGTGCGTGTGTGTGCGTGTACTTCGACGTTACGAAGTTCGTTTATCGATACTATATCCCTCGGTGAATTCACGTGGCTGCTTCATCCCTTCCCCCCCCATTTTTCCTTCGTGTGAGCTCGTTACGCCGCTCTCGAACCACTCCACGATAAGTCATCGGTTGACAAGTAATATTTTTATCGTTTCTGAGAGTGACACTGTTTCGAAGGATGATTAATCGTTCCGCGGGATTGTTATCGATGAAGAACACTTGGACAGCGTTTCGATCGCCATTCGTCGACCTAGCCTGATTTCATCGGTTGACCGATACAGTAACACACACGTACACACGTATATAGAAAAACCTTTTCGATGTTACTAGAGTGAATATTGAATACGTGATTCTCTTGAATAAATTTTCTACACGGCACAGTTTCCTTTCTTTTATACCCGCCGGTGTGTTTAACAGGGGAGAGGTTTGAAGTTTGAAAAATTCCTGCCAGGAAGACCAATAAGCCTGTACATTAATCCACCTGTCTGTTTCAGGGGAATACTGCAGCAGGGCAGAAAGAATTACGAGAAGGCGATTCTGAGTTATCAGCGGGCGATCCATTTCCGGCCTTCGTTAGCTCGTAAGTATTTCCATTATTTCCCGCGCCGTTCTCAACGAGCGGCGATCGAGTTTCCAATGGAACCCTCGAACTTTGCGATTTTTTTCTGACGTGCCGCTGCACGTTCTCTCTCTCTCTCTCTCATATTCTCCCTCAGAGGCGAGCACACGCGGCGGAAATCGATGTTAATGCTTTCGAGGTTGGAATTGGCGACATGTAATTTGACGCAGCCGGCGTGCACCATTAATGAACCGCGGTCGCAAGTTATCGCAGTTCATTAGGACACTTAAGCGGCAGTTCTCGCGGTGAAAAGTAGAGCAACCCTTCGCGTTTCACCCTGCTCGACCCTCGAAACAACCCTATCGAGGTCTCTGTGCCCCGCGTTTACTTTTCACCTAAGTGTTTTTCTCGCTCTCTTTCGGCGAACAGTCGCTGTTCCCAAGTGCGTACACTTCTGAAACGGAAACGAAATTTTTACCGCACAAGAGAGAGCTTTTCGAAACATTTCTGTTTGCGTACTGTAGGGGATTTCTGTGGAGGGATAGTAAACTCGAACGGACTTTTGACTATACTACATTGATTAATAGTTCATATCGCTACGCTAAAGATGTGGCTCGATCAATCGCTGGATTCATACTCCCTTTCGCTCCCTCGCATTCGCCCTAATGTCATCTTGCATACATGCACACTTTTCCGTAGAAGAAAACACACATGCACACAGCAGCAGCGCGTGCCCTCGCCTGATTACTAAAACTAAACATTCGTTCAATATCTTTCGCGCTATCCCAAACACTCGACCTGGCACGCCGGTCCTTACCGCTCCGGTCATAGACCCTCACGCATTCACACAGACAACGCATTCATACAAACAACGCACTCACGCTCGGTCATCCCTACAGTACCAAGTGGGATCGCTGACTTTCTCCGCGTCTTTGGTAAATTCGATTTAAACAGAACTTCCGGTAAAAAGAATTCGAGAACGATCTGTTAACGCGTTGACCGCCACGCTAGATTTGCGATACATGTTTTTCATTATTCTAAGCGTAGTATGTTTTTCAAATTGAAAATAACGTCGACGATATTCCTTTTATTTGAATTACTCTAAACATCCGAGGTCACCGATGACAGTCGACGCGTTAAACACGATATCATTTATTCCCCATTTGACGTTCCCCGTGAACCCTGTTGCTCCTGAAGAGAGCACCAGACAACGGTGCTGAGAGCAATTCCCTCGAATCTCAGCGGAGCACGTCCCATTGTTACGCACACCTGGAAAATACGCAAACAAGGTGCGACCAGAGAAAATACACGTTCGTTAGAATGCAGAGGCTCCTTTATACCTCGCACTATGGTGGAGAACTGTCACCTCGTCTTTCCCCCTGCATCTCCTCCCGAAAAGCGTGTCGCGTGACGAGAAAATTTTCAAGCTTCCTCCTGTGACGCGCGGTGGTGATTCTCGACTCGCTCGAGATAACTCGTATTTGTTCACGTTTACGCGCGTAATCGCGCGTGCCCGAGAATGCCGGTGGAAAATTTCACACAGCCTGGAGAAAAAGGACGGCGACTCGAGGGAGAGAAACCGAGAGGAGAGCCGCCGGACCTGATGGTGTTTACCGTATACTCGCCGAGATATTTACCCCGCAGCTCGCCGATATATAGTGTTCCCCCGGTTAAATCGCGGTCCAGAGATGCCCGCTTTCGTCCACCGATCCACGGTTACGTAAATATTATTCCTATTTATTTCTCGGTCGCCTGCGGAGACTCGTTGCGCCGTTCCTCTCTGATGCGGTATTAACCCTCGCCTCCACGCTCTCTCGAAATATCAACACACGCGCGCGCGTTCTTTTCGATTTACGAACGGTTTCCCTCTTGGTTAACGCGGTCGACGTTGGAAATTGTCGAGTGAATTTCATTATCCTTCCGAGACCTCGGATAATATCTGTGGGATCGCGAGCATTATCTTGAGTAACGAACGGCGAGGGTAATGAAAGCTCAGGTAGGGAGCAGGTCATTTTCGCGAGGTCTTCGACGGAGCGCGTTTGTTTTAAGGTAGTTTAACTGTTGCGGAAAAGGCTAAGGGTGTGTATGTGCGTGGTGGGAGTGTGAATGGTCGGGAGAGGGTGCGTGTTTTAAGTGACGGAGTGTGGGGTAAGATTTGGAAGAGAGGAGACTTTGAGTTGATAGCGTGGAAGGAAAGATTGTGTGGGGAGAATACAGTGTGGTTTAGAGATTGACGATTTGTGAGAGCTGGGCACACAGTTTGAGAGCACTCTCGAGAGTCAAATTTGTGAGAGCTGAGCACACAACTTGAGAGAACACTCTCGAGAGTCAAATTTAGGAGAGCTGGAGATTCGGTTTGAGAGTACTCTCGAGAGTCAAATTTGGGAGAGCTGAGCGCACAATTTGAGAGCATTCTCGAGAGTCAAATTTAGGAGCGCTGGAGACTCGGTTTGAGAGCACTCTCGAGAGTCAAATTTGAGGGAGCTGGACACAATTTGAGAGAACACTCTCGAGAGTCAAATTTAGGAGCGCTGGAGACTCGGTTTGAGAGCACTCTCGAGAGTCAAATTTGAGGGAGCTGGACACAATTTGAGAGAGCACTCTCGAGAGACAAATTTGTGAGAGCTGAAGACTCGGTTTCAGAGTGCTCTCCAGAGTCAAATTTCTGAGAGTTTGAGAGTACTCTCGAGAGTCAAATTTGTGAGAGCTGAAGACTCGGTTTCAGAGTGCTCTCCAGAGTCAAATTTCTGAGAGTTTGAGAGTACTCTCGAGAGTAATTATCTAATTTTGATAATTACCTCCAAAAACGTTTAGCAACTGCCCACAGATCACCGTGAACCTCATATTTTTATCCCTCTGGAAGCGAAACTGTAGAGTTTCATGTCACTGTGGGACAAAATACAGAATCACGCGATCTGAGCTGCATAGCGAGGATGGATTTCTCTTGCATGGAAACTCCGCAAGCTTCCGAAATTCCTATCTATAGGATCTGTAGGAGTTGGATAGACGGCGTTGTTCCATCCGTTCACAAAGGGTGTGCAAAGAACGGCGAGGGTGCGGGAGTATCCAGGAAGATCGATTTTAAATGTTTAGTCAGGAGTTATTTCGAAGGCATTTCAACTTAATTCCCGGAACAAGGAACTCCATGGAGAGAGAGAGAGAGGCTGGCTTGGATCATTTAATCAACCGGTTGTTCTATCGGAAACAGCACTTTGCCTCTCGAGGCGTGCAAGGTTTCAGGGAACTTGGAAATTTAATCAACCAACCTGCCTGGCTATAATGAATATATTTGTGAAATAATTCCCTGTTATCACTCAAAGGGTTAGAATTTCCACGTCTCTTCTTTCGAAAAATTCATTTCTTCTCACTGGTGACGAAAAAAAGCAAGAAATAACACCTGTCGTATTGTCTACCTGTTAGCGAAACGTGTTCTGCTTGAACGCGACCGACGAAATTTTTTGCCAAATAAATCACCGTCGCCACTCTGCTAATCTCTGTTAAAAATGAAACGAGAAACGGGCGTGCGAGTCGTTTTCGACCAGAGAGGCGACAGAAGGAGGAGAGTTATATTCAACGGTGCATTATTTTTCGACGAGGGGAAAGCCGCTTTATCAATGCTGTTTACACGGTGAATTTTCGCCCAACAATTATAACGCAATTCCGTCGTGCAAAATATGTCGGCCGACGCGGAGAGCCGAACGCGTTTCGCCTGTCCGCTCCTCTGGAACGCGAATTTCCATCCATAAGCGGACTACATATTTCCGTGCCGAGTATACACACAGAAAGAGAATACGAATCTACTCGTTGAACATACTCTTCGTCGTTCTTTCAATCCATTCTTCTCGAATTTTTCTCCCCGCGTTTTGTCCGATTTTCCCTTAAGTAATCCAACTTGGTGAGATTAAATCGTGTCCAACTTCTCAAGGTTCGCTTGATAATAAAGTTGGAACGAACAAGTCAAGCTTCTCTGACTCGATTTTCTTGCGTTATCTTAGCAATTCGATGCACCGCCCCGCGCCAGGAGGAGTATCGGTTATCTAGCTCAGCTACGAAAGCTTCCACAACCTTCCGAGTTTCCCTCAAGATCTACGTTTACGAGGTTCGCTAGTGTGCAACCTGATGGGGATTTACTTCGTAATTATCTCGGCAAGTTATGTTGATTAAAGCGCGGAAAGTGGGATAGCGGTTGCAAAGAAAAGGATGTGGTTAGGTGTTTTGAACACGGGTGTGTTTTCGCCGAAGAATAATCGCGGGTGGAGAGAGAGAGCGTAAGGTCAAGTTGCTGGGACTTAATGGCTCGCATTAACCTGCTTAAGGGTGGAACAACAGCCAAGATTCGAATCTTGCCCGGTGTGTGATTCATAATGTTTATCGATGACCCGTTTACCGCTGCACCAACTTCCGTATTTGATCGGAATCTCCAAGGATTCGTGTATTAAAATAACCCGCGCGGCTGGTTACCGTGATTAACACATTCGATAGAACAATTCGCTCCATTATCTCGCTTCTTTAATCCAAATAAACTGCTATGCAGCGTGTGGCGGAGATAAATCAATGGGCAATCAGAGCGTAAAATACAGACACAAACGGTTTTATTCGCGCAATTATCAATTAATTGCTCGTACAGGAGCGCCGATATTCGCGCGTGTTAGGGATTGGGTTTATGACATGGACGCCTGTTTGCGCTATTTTTGAATGCGCCCCTTTTTCCTTTCAAATTGGCGACGAAGCCCAGGAAGCGTTTTATGGCTGTAGAAAAATGAAGTTTCTGCGAGCCACATACCTTCCTGGTGCCCACTCGTGAACATTCAATAGACATTGACATGTCGTAAAACCTTTCTTGCCCGCCCCTGAGCGCGGGCTCTACGCGCGTTGTAATTGGCCAGTGTTTTTCGTTAATAATTCAAAAACGAAGCTTCAAACTGTATTTTGGAAAAGGAAAAAGTTGTTCAGAGTCACCCCAACAACCCCCCATTTCCGGGTGTTCGAGGAGTTACGGGACACCCTGTATGTATCTTTAA